CACTGCACACAGTGCAGGGTGTACAGACACAGGCAAATGTTCATATCTAAAAAAAGAAACAAAAAACCAGTTCTTTTCAAAAAGTTACTACTATAGAATGTTGCTTATGTGACAACTGAAACCACAGTGATGGGTCTGTGTTTGCCCAGGCTGGGGGTGGAAGGACTGTGTCACTACAAAGGGAAATTCGAGGGTTTTTTTTCTTCAGGCAACAAAAGTGTTCTGTATCCTGTTTGCGGTGTTGATTATGCAAACCTGAATGTGTGAACATTCATAGAACTATCTGTACACAAGGCAGAAAAAGAACAGGGTGAATTTTGCTCTCTGACAATTACACAGACAGTCTGTAGCAGCCAACATCTAAGCTGACCCACAATGATCCTTGCCTCCTTCCACTTGGGACCTGGGGTCTCCTCTCCCATTATCTAGGCTTCCAGAAAAATTACAAAAGTGAGAATGTAGGACTTCTGAAGTCACAAAAAAAGATGTGTCAGCTTTTTCTAGTTGTCTAGAGCCATATGCACTCGGTGGAAGTTGGGCCACCTCTGCGAAGACTCCAGAGTGACCTAGGGAAAGAAGCCAATTGCCAGCTCCAGTTCACCTCGGAGTCCTCGGAGATGGAGTTTGTGGCACTGACTAAGCCTTCAGGCAACTGCATCCCCAGCCAGCATCTGACTGTAGCCTCACCGCAGACCTGTGTCAACCGAGAGATTCATGATTCATTTATTTCTTTTTTTTTTTTCCTTTTTAGACAGAGTTTCACTATGTAATTCAGTCTGTCCTGAAATTTGTACTCTTCTAAACTCTTTCTTACCCGCTAAGAATGGGAGCAGGGACTTAAATCGTATTGATTTGTATGTGTGTGTGCATACATGTGAGTGCACAAAGATGTATGTATGCAAGTTCTCAACCTATATGAGTGCATGTGGAGGCTGGAGGTGTTCTATCATTCTGCATTTAATTTTTTGTTTTTGCCATTTTGAGACAGGGTCTCACTATGTAGCCCTGGGTAACCTGGAACTCAAATTGTAGATCAAACTGCCCTCAGACTCACAGAGATCTGTCTGCTTCTGCATCCCAGGTGCTAGGATTAAAGACGTGCACCATGGCAGACATTCTCCAGGGCATTTTTGAGACAGGGTCTCTTCCTGGCTCATTGTTTTGCTAGACCGGCTGGTGTAGACCTGTGCTTTGTATAGAACACCAAGTCAGTTCTAAGTAGTCACAGACTGGAGAGCGGCAAGGTTGGGACTTGTACGCAAGCCTTTAGGTCACAAGCCTGGTGTCCTTTCTGAAGGATCATTCAGTTTCAAACCCTCAATTTCACAGTTGAAGAGGAGAGGAGACAGTAGTTCAGAGTGGACGGCGTCTGTCACCAACAAGAAGCTCTTTGCCTCTCATTGTCCTCTCCACACACCCCTCCACACCAGCCTTGGGCCCTCTGAGCTCTACTCCGAGAAGCCTAACCCTCTGGGGGCAAGAGAGCCCTCCTCCCCCAGGTGACTAAGCTCTCAAGTTCCTGTTTGGAACAGCTGGGAAAGATGGTCTCACCTTGAGCAAACAGTGTGGGAAAGCACAGGCCAACACTTCTGGAAGGCAGTGCCCAGCAGGGCTGACAGACTCCCAGGACTGCTTCAACCCCGACTGAGGCCTCCAAGACTCCCCAGGCATGTCAGGCAGGATGGCTTGACCTCTCTGGCAGCCCTGTGCCCACTGGCATAGCTTAAGAAAGGTGAGCAGCTTCCTGGAATGGCCACGCTCTGTCATCACCAAGAATCTGCGGTGCATTGGCTGCAAATTTTTTAATTTATTTATTATGCATACAATATTCTGTCTGTGTGTATGTCTGCAGGCCAGAAGAGGGCACCAGACCTCACTACAGATGGTTGTGAGCCACCATGTGGTTGCCGGGGATTGAACTCAGGACCTTTGGAAGAGCAGGCAATGCTCTTAACCGCTGAGCCATCTCTCCAGCCCCTGCGACTGCAATTTCAGTTCTCACAGTGGCCCAGCAGGGCAGAGTGGAGTGATGTCTCCCACGGGCTTACAACTCACAGGTTGGGGGCGGCGTTAATAAGTGCAATTAAAGGTATATTATTATTATTATTATTATTATTATTATTATTATTATTATTATTATTATTGTGTGTGTATGAAGACAGGTTGGGGGCAGCATGTGTAAAGGCCAGAGGAGCCTCTGTGAGCGGTGAGCTAGTGCCCACTAGTCTGAAAGTAAAGTTGCCTTCCTTCCTCTTCTCTTCTCTCCTTACTGGAGTTGGGGGAGGGGTGGTGGTGGGGGATGTTTGGGGTTGGGAATCCAACAGGGTAGGACCATGACTGGGCGACAAATTCTACACTGTGAGATTTAATTCTAATCTCTGCTTGGGAACGGATTGTTGAGGAAGGAACACTTTCTTTGAAATGTTGGCGGCAACAATAGGCAAGAATGGCAGGTTTCTACATAAAAACCTTTACTGAGCAGCAGTGCCAGGCTGCGGGCATTACCAGGTGAACAGCAAGGACAGCGGCAACAAAAGCCCTTTCCCAGAAGCCTCCCTCCCCAGGGGCGTGACTCAGCAGACCCGGGGAGGGCAGCCCAGTATTTCTGAAACTCCAGTTCTGATGAAAACAGACCATGTTGGACCATCTGATTCCCTCAAGTTTCTGGCTGGATGTTTTTACTTCTCTGGGTTTTCATGGGCTTTGGGGAGAAGGCGCTGGACTCAGATCTGAACATGCAGATTTCCACTCTAGAGCTGTATATGCCTGGCTTGTAGCCTAGGAAGCTTCAGATAAACCCTGGTTCAGTCACTGGCTGATATGCAAGTCAAGTAAGTCACAGCCTATAAGGACAGGATGGCTTTGACAGGCTAGTCCCATATCCCTTAAAGTCCAGTCCAAAAACATTAAGACATCATTTATCTTGTCAGCTTCAATTTGCCTTTTTTGTTTTTCTTTTGTAGTTTTTTGAGACAGGTCTCATTATGTAGCCCAGCCCGACCTGGAAATTATTATGCAGGCCAGGCTAGGCTTGATCTGCAGCAATTCGCTTGCCTCTGCCTCCCTAGTGTATCACCACACCCAGCTTCTTGTTTTTAATGTGTGGTCTATGTGGCGCATGCCTGCTTTGAGTGTGCCTGTGTGAGCATATCCAGAGGCTAGAGAAGGGCATCCGTGTCTCTACCAACCAACTCTGCCTCAATTCCTCAGGCGAGGTACCTCAATGAAACTCACAAGTGTTGCTAACCCGGCTGGCCAGAGTTCCCAGGATCCATCTACACCTTCCCCCTAATACCAGGGTTAAAGTCATAAATGGCCATGTCTGACTTTTCCTGTGGACACTGGGAATTTGAGCTCAGGTCTTCACACTTGCACAGCAAGCTTTTATACACTGCTTTTATACATGGAGCCATCTTCCCAGCCTCTTGGCTTGTTTTAAATTTAATTTTTATTTTTCTCTTTTTGAAAATAGGTCTGTGTAGCCCTGGCTGGCATGGAATTGGATAGGTAAACCAGACTGGCCTCAAACTGATTGTTCTGCCCCCAGGGTGATGGGATTAAAAGCATGCGCTGCAACACTCTACAAACTGAATTCATGTACTTTTTAAAACTTTACTGTTATATTTTACTTATTCAGTGTGCGTGTGCGTTTGCATGTGCACAGTATGTATGTTGAGGGCGGAGAGCAACTCGGAAGAGTTGGTTCCCTCCTACAGTGTAGGTCCCAGGGATCAAACTCAGTTCTTCAGGTTTGGCAGCAAGTGCCTTTACCCACTGAGCCATCTCACTGGCCCTTGAATTTAACAAGGAAAAACTTAAAAACTGCACATATTAATGCCGCCCCCAACCTGTGAGTTGTAAGCCTGTGGGAGACATCACTCCACTCTACCCTGCTGGGCCACTGTGAGAACTGAAATTGCAGTCGCAGCCAATGCACCGCAGATACTTGGTAATGACAGAGCGTGGCCATTCCAGGAAGCTGCTCACCTTTCTCAAGCTGCTGCTTCCACTGTGTGCAGTGGGCACAGGGCTGCCAGAGAGGTCAAGCCATCCTGCCTGACATGCCTGGGGAGTCTTGGAGGCCTCAGTCGGGGTTGAAGCAGTCCTGGGAGTCTGTCAGCCCTGCTGGGCACTGCCTTCCAGAAGTGTTGGCCTGTGCTTTCCCACACTGTTTGCTCAAGGTGAGACCATCTTTCCCAGCTGTTCCAAACAGGAACTTGAGAGCTTAGTCACCTGGGGGAGGAGGGCTCTCCTGTCCCCAGAGGATTAGGCTTCTGGGGCCAATGATGGGAGTGGACTCAGTGCCTTGTCCTGCAGGACTCCACAGAAAGGGTACCCATGGCCTTAGTGCCTGGAATTTGGAGATGAAATACAAGAACAGCCCTACCTAAACTCAACCTCCTCCTGTAGCTCGGGTCTTCGGGGTGGTGGGGAGGCTCTTCTCTCCCCACTTCCTCACTGCAGACCCTATTGGCGTTTCCCTGGGCACCCATGCTGATTCATTTAAAGACTCAGGGCGAGTCAGGTGAGACAGCTCACACCTGTAATCCCAGACTTGTGAGGCTGAGACAGGACTGGGATTCTATCACAAGCCTTGGTTATATCAAGAGCTTAAGGCCAGACTGGGAGACAGAAGACCCTCCAAAGAGAATAAAACAATAAAAAAAATCTAGCTGGTAAAATCCTGACAACTGTGAAATCAGTTTATTAAATTCACAACTTTTTTTTTTCTTTCCCTTTTTTTTTCTGAGAAAGGTTTCTTTGTGTAACAGAGAAATTGCTCTGTAAACCGAGCTGGCCTTGAACTCAGAGATCCACCCACCTCTGCCTCCTGAGTGCTGGGACTAAAGTTGTACGCTACCAGGACCCAGCTCATAATTTTTCATAATTTGCATCATCTTAAAGAAAAAGCTTTGCAGGTAGTCATTTTCAAATCACAGTAGTAAAAACTGGGGACACATTTAAGGTGAATCACAAACTATGGATGGAACACCCCTCAGTGGAAGTTTACATAATTAAAAGCATTTATTCATCTATGTGTGAGCAGTGAAAACACAATGTGTGGTTAAGTAAAAACCCAAGACATTAAACATGGTTATGTAGATTGGTATCTTTAAAAAAACACTGAATTACAAAAATAACTTGATATGCTGAGACTGTGGCTTCTTAGACTACCTCCAGCACAATGGGCAGGCTGCTCACCCCAGCCAGCACCAGCCTCGGCTTTTACCCCTCCTCTCATCCATTTTCTCATAGGCACAGGCCAGGTCTCCCTCTTCTGTCTAAAACCTGTGAGGAGGCCCTGTGGTCTCAAAGTGTTTGTCTACTGCTGCCCCCTCACTGTCTCGCTGATCCCTTGTTGCACCCCCACAGGCCAGCCTGGGGCCTTGCATGTGCGGAAGTTCTCTTTTAACTTAAAATGGCTTCCCTGTAAGCACAGCTGTGGCTTTTCTTGCAGGACTCCCCATCCAAAGTACACAAGCTTTGCCTTCCTTTCTGGATGCATTCCTGATCCTTTGAGGCTTTCTCTGCTGCATCCCTCTTTCCTTGCACATAGTAGGTGATCAGTAAACACTTCCTGAATGAAATCACGGAGCTATCCAGAGGGCTGGAAGCTACTGGTAGATTTGGTCCTCGAGCTGGCAGTGGAAGTCAACAGCAGGTATACAGCAGCAGCCAGGGTGGCCCACTGTTTCCCCAGGTGTCCTGCGGAGCAGAGTCTAGCAGCAGACAGAATTGAATTCTAGAAGGCCTGATCTAGTTCACCACCCAAAGCTGTGCACCCTGGGGGAATCATTCACCCCTCCCCCCTCAAAAAGAGAAGGAAAATAGCAGGGCCAAAGTAAACAAAAGGATGCACATAAGGCACTAGCACAGTGCCTGGCCTGGACAGCTGGCAATAAGCAGCAGCTAAACCCCACAACAGCTACACAGGGAACTTGGTCTCTTTCACATTTACAATGTGTACTAGCTGACTTGACGCTTATAACCTGTCAGACAACACTTACAGGGCACAAACAGACATAGTGCAGTGCCTGCCACACTTCAGGAACTCTGTACCAATCAGGATGGTCTGCAAGGTCACACACCGAGGCCCCCATCTCTCAATGTCCCCATGCAAGGTGGATTTAGATCCACCGGATGAAAACTCGCAGGCTCTCAGGAATGAGAACTGCACTCTCAGACCTCACTACCCCAGCAGTGTACTGGCTGGAAGGACAAAGGCTGTTCCCAAGCTGGGGCTTCACAAGGCTTCTATGCACTAATGGAGGCTTGGAGTGCAGTCCTTGGGGAACAGCTACGTGAGGGCTGAGACCACAGGCAGAGGCTGGGAGAAGGATCTACCAGACAGCAGCCTCCAGCACCCTGGTTGCCCAGGGATGGTGCTGAGGCCCTAACACCATCACCTGCTGTGTGAGCACTTACCTGTTGCAGAGCACTGCATAACTGCTAACTCCAACCTGCAGTGTTCACCACAGAGCAGCCCAGGGATGATGGTGGCTGGGCCTGCAATGGGGATGAGTCTAAGGGTCCTTTAGGGAATCCCTGGAAAAGCGGCCAATAGGCCACCTACTCCTTGCCTTTGTATTTATAAGGTCACTTTAGGTATCTCTGCTAAGGGAGTCCATGGACTTTAAAAAAAAAAGAAGGTGGCTGGGCCTGCAATGGGGATGAGGCTAAGGGTCCTTTAGGGAATCCCTGGAAAAGCGGCCAATAGGCCACCTACTCCTTGCCTTTGTATTTATAAGGTCACTTTAGGTATCTCTGCTAAGGGAGTCCATGGACTTTAAAAACAAGGGCGAGTTTTCAGGTAGTCATGGCTTTGCATCAAAACTATAGAAATCAGCTGAGTGTCTTGCTACACACCTGTAATCTCAGCACGTAGGAGGTAGAGGCAGGAGGACCAGGAGTTCAAGGCCAGCCTGGGCCATAAGAGATCATCTTAACCTCAATCCTTCCTCCCTCCCTCCCTGACACCCGAGTCGAGAAACCCTATAAAAAAATATCTTCCTCTTTATGAAGTAACTGTTTGAGAGAGTTCAGCACTGCAGGCTGCTCTGAGCAGGGCAAGCCCAGGCCAGAGGTGGGCTGCTCTGTATGTGCGTGGTTCCCTGGAAGCACAGGGAGCTGAGAGCAGCTCTGGCTGGAGAGAATGGAAGTCCGTGTCTGGGATGGAATGCCTTCCTCTTCTAGGAAGTCCCTGGTACTGTTCTCCATCTCTCCCAGGACAGAAGAGGCGCTTACAGTCCCAGAACATCCTTAGCTGCCAAGTCTGGCTGGGGGCTCCAGGTGGGATCAAAATTCATCCCGCAGCTGAGAGGGTTTGTCCATGCCAAAGAAGGATGACTGCCTCCCGTGGAGGTCCCGCTCCCGCTTCACGAAAGCAGTGAAAGAGGAGACACAGTTGCCAATGAAGTGGTCAGCCTGGCCAAGGATGTACAGGTCGATCTGGGCCACCTCAGGTTTCAGGCTCACCACCTTCACCTGTAGGGAGGAAGGTAAGAGCATGAGCAGGTGCCAACAGGCCAGTCTCAACATTCCTCTCCTGACTGAAGTTTCAGACAGAGGGAAGATTGGAGAGGATGAAGATGTGCGTTGATGTCTTTGAAGTGTGCCCACCTGAGTCCTGTCTCCAGCCCAGCTCCCTGAGCGATTCCCGAGCTTCCTATAGCACGGTTTCTAATTGGTTTTAATAGTAAAAACCCTGGAGTCAGATATTAGGGGGTGAAAGCTGAAAGATCAGAGAAGCAGAGCAGCAGCCACTATTTCTTACCTCTACGAAATCCTCAGACCGAATAGGGTATCCTCTCTATAAGGACTGAATGCCCTGAGTTCCTGTGTCCTTCCGCCTTTTATTCCTCTCTCTGCCCAGCCAAATCCCTTCCTGTCTCCACCTCCCTAGTGATGGGATTAAAGGTGTGCGCCACCACTGCCTGGCCTCAATGCTAACTAGTGGCTCTGCACTCTGATCTTCAGGCAAGCTTTGTTAGACCACAAACAAAACATCATTACACGGCTCCTACTGGATGGAACCTTCCTCTGCCTACCCTACAGTGCCCTCACAACTCACTGAAAGGCTGCCCAGGCTTGGAGGTGTACTCATGTGACCTTAGTAAGCACAAGGCCCTGGGTTGTTCTAGTCCCAGCATCAAATAGTCCTCCCAAGAAACCCCTCATGTCAGCTATGCGCTGCTTGCATGCTTCCCTCAAGCTGGACACGGGAGCAAGGATCATGCTCCCCCCTCATCCTGCTGTCAAGATGCCCTCCTCTTCCAAGTAGCATTACCAGGCCCGATGTCCTTACAATCTACTGACGCCTGTGACCTTTGCAAAGGTAGGTCACTACCATCTACCAACCCCTGCGACCTTTGCAGTGGCAAGTCACTTCCTGTGAGAGGCTACCTCTCCCTGGCCTGACCGACTTCAATAGCTTTTCCCTGTCTCTCACTGCCTCTTCTGGTCTGGTCGCTACAGAACTGCTGTAAGAGACTTCTGAGACACCCATCTCCTCTGACCTGCTATCCAAACTGCATACCCTTTACAGGTGCCCTGGGCCTTTCAGATAAGGATGGCAAGTCATCAATGCACCTGATAAGGCCTGCTCAGGCTAGCTCTTCCATCACCCACCGTCCTTACAGCGACAGCCACCATCTGCCAAGCACCCTCCCTTTTTGTTTCTCCTTAGGGCCTTTACAAATACTGTTCCTTTATGAGGTGTCCTAGCTAGTTTTATGTCAATTTGACACAAGCTGGAGTCACCAGAGCAGAGTGAGCCTTGGTTGAAGAAATGCCTGTAGAAGACTGGGCTGTAGGCAAGCCTGCAGACCATTTTCTTAAACAGTGATTGGTGTGGGAAGGCTCCCATTGGGGTGGGGCCAACCCTGGGCTGGTGTTCTGGGTTCTAATAAGAAAGCAGGCTAGCTTTAATCCCAGCGCTTGGGAGGCAGAGGCAGGTGAATCTCTGTGAGTTCAAGGTCAACCTGGTCTACAGAACTAGTTCCAGGAAAGCCAGGGCTACACAAAGTTACCCCGTCTTGAAAGACCAAAAACAAACAAAGGCGGGCTAAGCAAGTCAGTAATCAGCCTCCATGGCCTCCAGGTTCCTGTCCTCACTTCCTTCGATGATGGAACAGTGATATGAAAGCTCAAACCAAACACCAGCCCCAACTTACTTCTGGCCATGGTGTTTTATTGTGGCACTAGTAACCATACCTAAGACACGGGCAAACCTCTCTGTAACCGGTAACTGCCAATCACCCTTCACTTCAGATCACGTGGCACACTTCTAAAGAAGTCCTTCCCAAGGCTCTTAGAGCCCCCCACCATGCACCCCAGTACATGACTATCTCTGTTAACACCCTGGCCTGGGGGACCTGACCTGAACCTTTGTTGCTCTGCTCAGTCTCAACATACACAGGTTTGACAAACCCTGTCCTCACTCCTGTTTGCCACCCACAAAGTCTTCTCCAGTCTAGGCTGTGGTCCTGAAGGCAGGACCACATTTCATTCATCTGGGTTCCTAGTTTAAAGGTGTAAGGTGTCACTCAGAACAAAGAAGGGACCTGGGGAGGTTGCTCTGTCCGAAAAATGTTTGCTTTGCAAGCAAAAAGACCTGAATTCCACCCCCAGAATGCATATTTAAAAATCAGCACTGCTACATTTGGTTGGTGCCTTCAATCCCAGCACTCAGGAGGCAGAGGCAGGTGCATCTCCTTGAGTTCAAAACCAGACACAGCTACATAGTGATACTGTGTTTTTTATTTTTATTTTATTTTTTTTAAAGAAAGTAAGCTACCTTAGTGGCGTGTGCTCAAAATCCCAGCATTGGGAAAGGAGGCAGGTAGTTCAGGGCTTGCTGGCTAGCCAGCATGGTCTACTTGGTGAGTTTCAGGTCAGTGAGAGAGCTTTTCTCAAAGCAAAAGGTAAATGGTGCTTGGCGTGCTCTGACCTCCACACACAAATCTGCATGTGTGTGGACACACATGCAAATGTCACACATCACAAAGGGGAGGAGGAGAGTAGAAAGTGAGCCCATGGGAAATGGGGCTGAGGGGTGGGGGCAGGGGTGGGGCAAGAACACCAGCACAGGAACAGGAAGTAGGAAATATCAAGAGGCTCATGGCCTAACAAATGCATCAACCCTACAGCTCATGAAACTCCCTGGGACTCTCCATGCTTCAGCTCTGCCTGGAAGGGCTCTGCTGTTCCGCCAAGGCGCCTGGGCTCTAGTAGAGACACTATCACTGTCATCTCACCAAAACCCCCCAAACAGTCCCACCCACTCCCTGAACTTACCAGCTCTGTCACTCCAGCCACAGCTGGCTCGCTCTGGGGCCTCGTAGGTAAGTTCTGCCCCTTCTAAGCCCATTCCTCAACTACAGCATGCAGGGGTAGTGAGTGGACCAGAGGGCTCTCAGCTGATTTCCTATGTAGGAAATGGGCAGGACAGACCAGAGGGTACTGGCCGCACACTTCCTGGTTGGTTGGAGCATCTTTTTTTTAGGGGGTGGAGCAAGTGAAAGGACAGAAAGGCATCCAATGACATAAGGCCAGGAGCTCCCAATGTCTGCCTCCCCCTTGATTTTAAACATTCAAATAAATATTCTCTTATCTATTTCTATATGTTGGAGTTCTTAGACTTGAAAACACTTTTACATAAGCCCTTGACAATCTCTAAATTATACTTCGTCACACATTTTTTTTTTTAAATTCATCTTCCTACCATCTTCCTCTTAAGGTCAGCCTAGCATCTGAGGTCCTCAGTTACTCTGGTCTCCTGAATGCTCACTAGTCGCTGAGCCACCACACAGAGGCACACTCACTCACCACTTGCTGCTCCCTGGTACTAGAAAAGTTCTGCTGTTGGGCAGCACTTCCTGAGACAGTCCCTGAGCACAAAGACCGTCCCTTTCATTCATTTCTGGTGCTAAGGAGCGCTAACTACTGAGCATTACTTTACAGCGGGAGACAAGTCTATCGGGTCACACGCTTTGGATGAGGAAACAAGCACAGAGCGCACAGTGCGTAGGATTCAAGTCTCCAGAGTACAGAGATGGTGCAGGCCTGTAACCCAGCAGAAGATCAGGAGTTCAAGGTCATCCTCAGCTACCTATTACATTTTTTAGCCATCTAGGTTACAGGAGACCTGGCCCTGCCTCAAAAATAAAACTAAACCAAACCAAAAAAGAGTATATGCGCTTAACTTCTCAGCAACTGTGGATCCTTCTCAGAGTCCACTATGTCCTTATTCAACAAAGCATCTGCACCATGTGTCAGGCACTGTCTTAGATACCAGGATGAGACAGGTGACAGAGAATAGAAGAGGGGTCTACACTAGTCTTGGGTGGTCTAGAACATGCCTCAAGGAAAGAAAGGGCCATGGAGACTCCAGGAGGGATGCGTGAACTTCTGGAGTGGAATGAAAACTGGAGAGAACTCGGAGATGTCTGAGTTGTGGACAGAAGGAAGGTTAGGAGAAGAGTGTGTAACCAGGTGAAGGGCCGGTGGGGGGGAGCGCGAAGCAGGTATGACAGCTGTGGGACTAGTGGAGCCTTGTTTCCATTCCCTCCCCGCTGTGCTCCCTCTAGGCCAGGCGTACCTTCTCTGTGAAGAGCTGCTGGATCTCTGGCACATAGCTCTCAGAGTCTGTGGCGATGTAGACTGACCTGGCATTCAGTGCCCTCACCCAAAGCTTCACAGCACGCTGGATTTCCTTAAGGTCGGGAAGGCACATGGTCATGGTGAGGGGGGCCGCTGTGCTGCGGCTGTAGCCCACACACTGAGGGGAAGCCATGAAGTGTGACCCTGCAGTCCCGTCCTTCAGCATGGCGCAGGCATTCTTCTACAGGGAGGGGTGGGCGGTGAGAAGTTAGAGAAGCAGACACAGGAATGGGTAAATGGGAAGGAGTCTAGAGTATGTACTGAACCAAGGACTTGGTGCATGTTAAGCACCATGTTCCACCACTGAGCTATACTCCCATCCCCAATATGTGTATACTAATAGCATTAAGAGAAAACCCACGCATGGTGAGGCTGATCTGTAATCCCAGCACTTGGGAGGTGGAAGAGGCAGGATCAAGAAGTTCAGGCAAGCCTTGGTTACACAGTGAGTTTGAGGCCAACCTGGGCTACACAGGACCTGGAGTGGGGGACATACTAAAACAGCAACACAGGTTATTTCTGAGTGGGGTTTGAAAAGCATTTTTCTGTTCTCTTTGTTATCTGGAAGTTGAGTGGAGCTCCGCACTGCCGATAAGGGAAGGCTTATCTGATTCCTGCCGAGGTGGGACTTCTGATCACTCCCCTGAGGCGCGTGTTTGCTATGGCTCCAGAGAGATAGGCTTTATCTGGCTAAGGTGGGTCCAGGCTATTTCTGGCTGGTTATCGAGTTTTTCTCAAGCACTTCGAGTTTTATCAAGCTCTTTCTTACCCTCTAATGAGATGACTACATGGTTTTTCTTCTTTGGGTATTAGAACAATGAATTTCATTCCTGGGATAGACTTTGCTTGTTAATACTTTGGACCTGTGCTCCTATGTTTACCAATTAAAATTTTTTATCTGAGTTTGATATTGGTTTAGGTTAGCTTTTTTCATACTGCCGGGATGGAACCAGGGCTTTGTGCTTGCTAGCAAATGCTTTACCACTAAGCTATACCCCAGTCTTGAGCATCTTTTCTCTTTCTGTGTTCCAGGAAAGAACAGATGGCAGCTAGTCATTGTACATATGTGAGCATGTGCATGGTTCAGACCGCTCACAGAACATTCTGAGCCCGATCCTTGGGTCCTTTTCCTTACAGAGGGGCCAGGGAGAGTCTAGAGGTTAACTGTGAAATTACTTTACTATTAATCATGTGTGTGGTGATAAGGCTCTGGCCTTGCCTCTATAAGGCAAATGATCTACCACTCTGCCATACTCCCAGTCTTATTAATGAACTTAACCTAACTTTTTTTTTCTTTCTTTTTTTCAAGACAGGGTTCCCTATGTAGCTTTGGGAGCCTGTCCTGGAACTAGCTCTTCTTGTAGACCAGGCTGGCCTCAAACTCAGAGAGATCCGCTTGCCTCTGCCTTCCAAGTGCTGGGATTAAAGGCATGTGTCACCACCATTCAGTTATATTTCTTTTTTTCTTTTTTCTTTTTTTGGTTTTTCAAGACAGGGTTTCTCTGTGGTTTTGGAGCCTGTCCTGGAACTAGCTCTTGTAGACCAGGCTGGTCTCGAACTCACAGAGATCCGCCTGCCTCTGCCTCCCTAGTGCTGGGATTAAAGGCGTGCGCCACATTCAGTTATATTTCATTTTCAACAGCAATCTACTTGCTAACTCAGTGGGACAGAGGACTTCTAGGCCAAGGGCCTCTGTCTAGCTTTCTGCCTAGTTTGGGATCTGACTTAATGCCTCAGTTTACCCATCTGCAAACAATGCTAGCTCTTCAGCAGGTGCTCTACCTACACACTCCTGACATGTGCTGTAGTAGCAAGATCATGATGTATAATCCAGACTTGGTGGAGTTAGCTGCCTCTGCTCCACCAATCACTACAGGCCTGGGCTCTGCTTAGGCAAATGTCAGCCAGAGAAAGGAAAAGGAAGTTACCCAGTCAGAGCCAATGCGCAGATGAATGCCCACATAGGGCCTGACGAGGTGGGTGCTGATCTGGGCCTCGCCTGTCTTCACCATCTCATCAGACCACACCACGTACTTCTGGAGTGCCCTGTGTTCCTCCAGGACAGGGAACTGGGCGGGGGCCCCTGGCAGTGCAAGCACTGGATGTTCCTTTGGAGAAAATCTAGGTATAAGACGGACAAGGGGAAGTCAGACAGAATGCACAGAGAGCCCTGCTACTACCCCCACGGGAAAAAGGACGGCATTGCACCATGCCCCAGAGACCCTGTGGAGAGGCCCCTATAACATGCAAGAGACGCAAAGGTTGTGAAATCTCAACGGGCTGATAAGAAACCTTGGTGGAGACAGCAGGCACAATATGCAATACTGTTCCTGCCGCACGGAATTTACAACCTCCTTTGCTTGTTTAACAATTAAAAATTTACAGTAGAGCATTCCAACATTTTATATATCACGCTGGCTTCCAGTCTGTGGTGTAGTAATTTATTCCAGGGTGGGGTGTCTGGACCAAGCCTTGCCCTTTTACCCACTCGGCGGGACTGAGTACATGAAGCTGCTTACACAGACAATGTTGGTCACACTCACAAAGACTGTGCACATGGGACAAAGCTAGTCATTCAGCACTTAGCAAATACTTACTGATTGCCTATGCCAGGACCCAGGAAGAAAGAGACCAGCAAGGTCCTACCGTCATGTAGTATACCAAAGGTCTGCAGATAACCCAGCACACCCTCTCAAGACTCCCACCACCACACAAAATCTTTTCTGCAGTGTTTCCACATCTTCTCTTTACTAAGCCAGGCTCCAATGGCAGTGCCCTCCTTCCATGTGCCTTGATCACTGCTTAGCACATGTGAGGGCTCGGGAAGACAAAGAATAGTAAACCTGTGTTTCCTCTTCAGCTCAACCCAGACTCCAGTCTAGCAACATAAAGCACTTTGCTGCCCATGAATTTACAATGCACTTTCTGACTCCAGACTTCTGCATTTGTCTCCTGTCTCCACCTGAAACATCTGCCCTACCCGCTGAAATCCCTTCTAGATATTACAACCAAGTGCAGCCACTCTGGAAATGTTTGTGGCTAGTTTCTCATGAAATCAGACATGCAATTACAATATGACCCAGTGATGGCACTTGTGGGCATTTATCCAGGGAAACGAAAACTTGTATTCAAACACAAACATATACACTAATGATCACAGCGGCTTTACTTCAACTGCCCTAACCTGGAAACAACCCAGATAAATACAACAGCACATCCATACCATGAGTTGTCACTGCCATAAAAAGCATGGGCTTTCAACACAAGCTATGGCACTTAAGGGAATTATTCTAAGGGAAAAAAGCCAATCCCAACAGGGCACAAACCATATGACTCCATTTGCATATTTTTGAAAGGGCAAAGGGAGAAGAGGTCAACGGCTGCTAGAGTTAGGGATGATGTGTGTTTACAGAGGCAGGTGTAGTAATAATATTTACATTGAAAGAATTACTCAGGCTGGGGGGGGGGGTGGCGCACGCCTTTAATCCCAGCACTTGGGAGGCAGAGACAGGCTGATCTCTGTGAGTTTGAGGACAGCCTGGTCTACAAAGTGAGTTCTAAGACAGGCTCCAAAACTACAGAGAAACCCTGCCTTAAAAAAACAAAAAACTACTCAGTATCTTAACTGTGGTACTGAATATATAAACCTACACTAATTATACAGAACTAACATACACATACACACAGTTGTGTATAAGCAAGACTATCTGAACAAGATAGGATCACATCACTGTCGAGATCCTGGCTAGGATATTGAGTCAAGGGTATATGACAAGATCTCTCTATATTGTTTATCACAACTACATGTGGATCTACAAGTGCCTAATTTTTTTAAAATAAAAATTATGAAAGGGCTGGAAAAATGACCCATGGGATAAAGGTGTCTAAGCCATATGACCTGAGTTCAATTCCCAGGCCCACATGACAGAAGGACAGAACCGACTCCAGTCAGTGGTCCTCTGTGTGCTGTCCTTCTAAACAAATGAATAAATGCAATGAAAGGAAAACAAAAAAAAAATGTAAAGCCTCATGAAATATTGTAAACCCTACAACAAACATGGAAAATAATTCATAGGCCCATAGCCTACATCAGCAGACACTAATATTGTTTTTTGCTTCAGAGTTTAAAACATACATACCTAGGGCTGGTGAGATGGCTCAGAGGGTAAAAGCATTTGCTACCATACCTAAAGACCTCATTGGTTCCCTGGAATCCACACTGAAGGCAGGAGAGAGCCAACCAACCTGTTCTCTGACACACACACATACCCCAAAGTAAACTAAAAAATAAAATAAATACAAAGCCCTACCTCACCATCTCTTTCCCTTTTTTTTTTTTTTTTTTTTTTTTTTNGGGGAGGGAATAGGAGATGCTGACCCTGGAGCTGCTTCTGTGTAGTCAACAAAGGGGAGGGGGGATAGAAGAAGGAAATAAACATGACTTTTTTTTGGTTTTTCAAGACAGGGTTTCTCTGTGGCTTTGGAGCCTGTCCTGGAACTAGCTCTGTGGACCAGGCTGGTCTTGAACTCACAGAGATCTGCCTGCCTCTGCCTCCCGAGTGCTGGGATTAAAGGCGTGCGCCACCATCGCCCGGCTTTTCCCTTCTTTTCTTCTCCCTCCCTGAAGACAGCATTTTCATGTATAAGTCCATTCATCATCCATCCATCCATCCATCCATCCATCCATCCATCCATGCCTTAATTTCCTTGTCTTATAATAGAGCTGAGAATAGCCCTACCTCATAACACTATTAAAAAAATACAATTACATATTTTAAGGTATAGAAGGTGATGTTTTGTATGCAATGATCAGCACAGTCAAGCTTACTAAGATACCCATTTATAGGGCTATTGAGAGGATTAATTGAATTAATATATGTAAAACCTTTAAAGCAGTACTTGGCACACAGAAAGGTCTCACAAAACTCTGGGCATCATTGTCATGTTGCATATAACCTAGTTCAACTTTTAAAAAACTGAACCTTATGTCTGATGATTGGACCATGTTGATCATGGAGATCACAGGGTCATGATGACATCTCCTGAGAATTTCCAGTTTGAATGAGTAAATCCTTTGTTAGCCAGTGAGGCTGTTTCACCCTCCACTCATACCACAGAACTGAAATGCACCTGACACCCATTCTTCACACTGACCCAAACACATTGATCAGCAAATGCCTTCCAAGCCTCCAGATGGGTCACCACTCACAGGCCTCAGTTCTTTGTCCTCTGCATTCTGCCACGCTTAACAACCATCATTTCTGCTGCCAGAACTGGACGGAACTAAGGACAGTGGCCCTAGCAGTCTCTTTACCATGATTTCCCCAGACACTGTCAGAGGCCTAAGCAGTGGAAGCAGGAGGAAAGGGTCCCCCCACAGCCTGGCTCCTGTTTACATGTATATACGTGGCAACAATGTACCGAGTCATATTACGTGAGAAGCAATTGCTTTACTTGCATATTAACTCATTTAATTCCCACAAGAGCCTTGTGAGGGAAGTGTGCCTACTATTATTTTACTGATAAAGAAACTAGACACAAAGAGGCTAAATGACATGCAAAGTCACAGGGTGGGAACTGGAGGAGCACGGTTTGCACTCACGCAGTCTGTTTCACTGTTTTTTGTTTTTCAGTTTTAAAGATGTACGTAAATGTGTCTGAGTGTATGTATGTATATCATGTATATGCCTGTGCCTGTGGAAGACAGAAGGTTCCAGATCTCCTGAAGCTAGAGTTAGATAGGTAGTTGTGAGCTGCCTGATATGAGGGCTGGGAATAACCTGGGTCCCCTGCAAGAGCAGCAAGTGCTTTTGTTTTAGACAGTCTGACTACGCAGCTCTGGCTGCCCCGAAACTATGTAGACCAGACTGGCTTTGAACTTACAGAGATCCTCTTGCCCCTGTCTCTCCAGTGCTAGGAGCCATCATGCCTGGCTCAGCCAGTGCTCTTAACCAGTCCTACTAGTTGTCTTCTTGACCCCTAAACACTACTCTCATCTTCCCTCCCAGACAAGGAGCACCTCCTCATAGGGGTATAAGGCTTACTTCTCTAAGCCACAGTCCCTAGCACAGGCAGCAGGTGCCATACATATTTTTAGAATTGAATGTGAGGAATCAAGGGCCTTATAAAAATACCAGGGCATGCTGATGGTGGTGGGTAGAGGAGGAAGAAACTAATATTGCTTGAGCACTCTCCGAGGGGCTAGACCCTGGCTGATCTCTTCAGGTATCACCTCAGGGGCCTCTGAAAGGAAAAGAGCTTTTCTGACCTAATGGATGCTGACTCACTAGAATAAATTGGGATTTATGCCCTTCCTGCTCTCTTGGGAAGAGCTTGGAACTGACCCTTGGTGAATTCCAGTTTTGGAATGTCTATTCCTGTGCCCTGGACCTGGGCCAGCACAAAGCTATCCCAGTAGGACCACATCAGCTGTGGCTCAACAGGCAACAAGAGATCAAGACTCAGCTGCTCACTCTCCCTCAGTGCTATCTGGGAGAATTGATTAGAAAAGCTGGAGGAGCCTTAGTTGCAAAGAAAACCTAACCAACTCCACCAGCCAACCTGACCATTCCCTCTTAGGTCCAGAGAAGGCTGGCTTCCTGCTGTTGAACCTGGTGAACTTCAGTGGTACATCACCATCACACCCCGGCTACTGAGGTCCTCTAGGCTCAGCATCCATTTATGGAACCAGTAGATGATACCACGCTGAGTACAGAGGACACGGAAACACAAGCAAGGCAGAGTCTTGCTCTCAAAGTCCCTGACATGACAGACACTTTCCCTCCTGCTCTTTGCATGGTAGTTCTGGATTAGCCTTTAGGGCTTCATAGATTCAGCCATATAGGTCTTGCCAATCACACATGACCTCTATTGTCTTCTCAGGTTTCAGCCTGGGAGAATGACCAGCAATGTACTACAGTTTGGTTATGAAATCTTTCAAAGGCTCATGTGTTGAAGTCTTGGTCCCCAGTGCAGCACTGACCAGAAGTGACTAGAGCACGAAATCTCCAACCTTATCAATGGATTAATTCACCAAGGGGCTCATAGGTTGAATGGACTATTAGGAGGTATGGTTTAGTTGGAGAAAGTAGAACACTAAGGGAATGCCCTAAAGGGTATTG